TTAAAAGACTTCCCAGATATTTAAACTTTTATACGTGTTTGATTTTGACATCTCTAATTTCGCGTGCTGACAAACAAACATTGTGGCTTCTTTCAATTGACGCTTAGCCCTTCCTTCTCGTTTTCTTTTACTACCGGCCTATGAGGTCCTGTAGTTTTCCGTCAACATCTACCATCAACACAATGTCATCTACGTATCTTATCGTGCTAAGATTGTGCCCACTATAATGAATCCGAGTAGAATCTCCAGTTCTTTTAGGATAACCTTGTTGTTAGAGATTTAATAAACCCGATGAGAAGACATAACTTTGTCTTATCCCCTTCCTAGATTTGTGAAGCTACTCAATTAGTTTTTAATCCAACTGCAGAAGATTTGCTCCCCGTAAAAGTTCTGGAATGTATCTTTTCGTTTCGTTTCTTTATTCCATTTTTTAAAACATTTAGTATTTATTTTCTACACATTAGGTTAGCTTCTGCGGAGTGCTTTTGGGGCTTCGGCCTTTTACTTTCAGCGCCCTATGTACGTAAAGTTATAAGAATTTAGAAATAATCAAATTATTTTATCTATACTCGGCATCATCTTTCTTCGTATACGCAGTCCATCTCCATAGTTTGTTTACATTTATTTTGCACGCAATCTTAATTTCCTTTTTAAAAATCACCATTCTTTATGATCCCTTCCCATAAAGCCACTCTTAAAAGACATTAGGGAACCCGAACTATGTAATATTTCGAATACATCACAGCACGCAGGCTAGAAAAAGAACAGATAACCATATGAGCAACATACCGTGCCCCACTTAAGTTTTAATTACGGTTTAATTAGACTATATCAATTGCAATTGCGATGAAAAGCGAAATTAAAGTTAAAAGTTTAAGAATTGTTTATCAAACCTTTCACTCTGTCCGATATTTAAATTTAAATGAGTTATTTATTTAATTTTATTTTTTTAATTTCGTGTAGATACTGGGGCGTAATTTGAGTGTATTAAAGTACAGGAGGGTGAAGGAAGAGTATGTATATATATATATATATATATATATATATATATATATATATATATATATATATATATATATATAATAATAATAATAAAAAACAACGTAGGATTTAAAATTCGCGCCTTCTCATTCAGGCTCCGTTTTATAACGAAGGCCATTACTATTTCTTGTCAAGGGAGGTAACCGTGGATTACTTAACATCTATTTCATTTATTTAATTTTTTATTAAAGTCCTTTCAGTATGAAAGTCTATCAGGAGGTCGAATTTGCGATCATATCCGGTAAAAACTGATGGGCTTTTGCCATTGGCAATCGATTTTTCAATTTCAGTAATTTGGATTTCGTGTTGATCTCTTGACAATTCAGCTGGATTCGATTTTTCCAAGTCACTGACATCCGAAACAGGTCTTGATTGACGCTGCAGAGTATTGGAAGTTTGTGGCTAGGTAACTTTTGTTGATGATGGATGTTCATTGCTTCGGTTTTGGTGAAAAGTATTTCGTCGTTAAATTTCGCTGTCTGTCTAAAGTAGAACAGCCCGTACTGAAGCAGGTTTTACAACGATTGCTGGTTAAGTTTTTAGTGTTTTTACCGGACGTACATTTTCTTTTTCTACACGCCGTTACTGTTCCTTGACTTTTTTTCTTCATAGGCAGTGGCAAGCGTCGAGAAATTGCTATGGACATTATTTGCACAGACTCTTTTAAACGTATTTTTTTTTATATATTCTAGAGTTTACCAATGCCTGTGAAAAGTTCTGGAAATACTTTACTATATTTGTGGTCTTCATTTTTATAGAATTTACCCACCTCAGTAGGTTTCCCTAGTAATGGTTCCATCAAATTTTCAATAACAAACAAATCCTGTTTAGGCTTTGCTTTTGGAGTTTCTAATAAAGCCTCCACAAAACAGATAACATTTATCTGGTGATAACCTGGCCCATACAGATATTTGTTACATTTTTTAATAATTGGGGCGTTAATTCTATCGTGAATAGTTATAAATCCAAGGACCCAAGTGAGGTTCTTCCTCCTTCATCTCTAGAATTTTAAACCTGCTAGTCCTACACATTTTTGCATAATATCCCTTTCTTGAACACTTTCGGCAAATTGCATTTTTGGCTGGAGAGACGTTTTGAGTGTGAGATCGAATATTGCCACAGCGTATAAATTCATTTGCACTGCTTTTATGACTGAATAAATCTTTTTTTTTCATCTCTAATTATAAATACCCTTGTTGTTTCCAATTTTCTCAAGGCTTCTTCGCTGCTTACACACTCCTATCTATGGTATTCTTCAATATTCTTCAGTAGAAATACATTTCCGTTGCTTTCAGTGTTACGTTAGACTTATTACTACTTCCAAATTTTCTTTCCCCTCTTCATTCACTGAATTTCAAAATTCTGTAAATGTCGTATAAGTCCTCTATTATTAAAAAAATAATAATAGATGTTTGGAATGTACTTTCAGTTTCTTTGAGTCGACTGGCTTTTGAATAACTTCGAATAAACCTTTTCTAGTTAGTTACCAAATTCCCTGATAAAACCATTTTTGCAGGAGGCAGGACATTTGCCGTGAATTGTCATTAGTAATTGTGCCCTTGTTCAGATTTTTATGCAATGGAAAAGTCGTCAATTGGACTAAACATTTTTTTTAAGAAAGAAAACTTTTTTTTTCTTTTTTTTTTTTGCTTGTTTTACTTTACAAACTGTAGTTTAAACGCAAAAAAAAAAATTTCTCATGTTCTTTGGGGGGTAACGTTTTTCTTTTTACAATTTCACCTGTCTAAACTAAGAGTTTCTTTCCGAGCCTATCTTTGTCTTGATATCATTGTATTATATGAAAGGCCATTAGACTCAAACAACACTATCGCGTAGAGACTCAGCCGAATTCACTCAACGTACCGACGCTCACTCACAGACTCACTTTAAACCCTCAGCTTGTTTTTCCCTCTTTTTTTTTTTTTTTTAAACTTTGGTTCTGTTTTCGACATCTTCCATCGTTGTGCCACATAACAACCCAAATTATCCACGAACAGCCTGTCAGGATAATTATTTTTTATACTTGGATGTAGATTCCTTAAAGCGAAAAAACATTCAACATTTATAACTTGTTTGCAAAATATCTTGGCGACCAAATCTCTGACTGTCCTCAATACAACTAAATATTTTATCTGTGTTACCTATTGTGCTGAACAAATTGACATCTACGAAATTCTCAGTTACAATTACTGGATTGTAAAATATTCATGAACAAGTAAGTATACTAGATATATTTACAATTGAAATCCTGTGAGAATGTAAGTGAATTTCTATATATCAGTAGAAACTTGGATAACTTTAAAAATGTATATAACGCGTTTCATCATCGAAAAATTTCTTCATCAGACTCGTGTAATATTCGTGTTGTTGAAATTATGTATATCTAGCGTCAACGGGATAATATTTTATTATAATTATGTACCGAGAGAAAACGCTGAAGTTGGGGGATGCTAAATTCTAAATTATTTTTTCAATGTTATATTAAACTGCATAATTCAAATGCAAACTTTAGCGTCCCTATGTGTTTAGCGTTTTCCCTCACTGCAAAATTAGAACCGAAATCTACTTTTATATTCCCCCTGCAACTATATATATATATATATATATATATATATATATATGATTAATGCAAATATCAATTTGTCACTTAGCTGATTGATGTCACCTTCAGCATCCTGTCAGTCTACAAAAACTCTAGTTTCGTAGATAGACCCCATAGCAATCGGTTTCTCTCTCTCTCTCTCTCTCTCTCTCTCTCTCTATATATATATATATATATATATATATATATATTATGAAATGGAAAAGTCCGACAATTGTTTTAAGACATTTTTAAGTTTAACATTCATTTTATAGATACAAATATTTAAGGACGAATATTTTCTATGAAAATTACTCGGACATTCAGGCCGGTAAATGTTGTTTAATACTGTTTATTATAGACAGAGCATTTACGTAAATATTTGTATCTATAAAAAGAATGTTAACCATAGAAATGTCTTTATATATATATATATATATATATATATATATATATATATATATATATATATATATATATATATATATATATATATATAGTTCCATCAATAAGAATATTACTTTAGTTTCATGGAGTCCTTTTCGAGCATTGATTGTGAACGTGGGCCTTAAGACCACAAGTGGTCCAGAGAAATTTTGAAAATAGATCTGGAGTTGGCCCAAGGAAAAATAGATGGTCTTTGAAATTCTGTTTTTCTTTCCACTGGTGTAGAATTATGAGAACAAACAATTTCACTTTATTTTTAAAGGCAAATAATTCAGAAATTATTTAAGTGAAATTTTCGATGTTTTCTTCTTATAATAAATTATATTTACAAACTGATTTGAATTTTTCTTTTATCCTGTTGCATTAAAAAGAGTTTATGTCCATTTCATTTATTTTCCATTTAGTTGAAACCAGCATTTTTAATGCATTTAATATAAGTTATATGACACACTTAGTGAACAAAAAGGTTATTTTAGTATTTGAAAGAATCATCCTATCTTATATCAGCACTGTTAATTCACATTCCCACCTGTTATTTATAATTTAGCAAACTTTTTCCTTTAATGGCAATGTGTGTTTTAGATTTTAACGTCAGATATGCTTAAAATGGAATTTAAATTTCATTGCTTCAATCATTTTTGTCAGGATTTATAATTTCTACTACATTTTAAAATTCTAAATAGAATATATTTCATGTTACGCGGAATTTGTGCTTATGTGTACCGGAAAATGAGCCACAAGGAAGGAAAGGATGAGAAACAGATCTTAGAGGACGAAACGCGTTGCAGAGAATTTTTTGCTTTCTTTTGTCATTCAATTATGCACCAGCTGAAATCCAGGCGACAGGGACCCGTTGACTTTTAATCAGGATTTTCATTCATGGTTTTGTCAAGAGCTAGAAATCAGTAATTAATTTTATCGGAATTCGAACCGATTGCAGATTGGTTGTCTGCTGTATAATGTTATGAAAGACATAGACGAGCAGACAAGTAATAATATGGACAGGCTGGGAGAGTAGCGATGATGGTGTACGGTGAAGAAGCCAATGGCGGACTGATATGCAAACGGAAAAGAGAAAAGACAGTACTTTTGGTCATTGGACAGTCAAGTGATTGAAGTGGAAAATAATCAGACTTTTCCTAACCAATTCTCTGTGAATGACAGAATGGCAATGCGGCAATGCGGCACCGAAATGCGAAGGTACGTTTGGGATAGTGAAAGATGTCTTCGAAAAGCCAAACACAGTATTAAGAAAGAGGAAAGTCTCGTTAAAAACAAAGAAACGAACGTACTTAATTATTATGTAATATCAGTCCCCTATATGGCAGTGAATGCGGGACAATCTTATCGCAGATGAAGAAGAGACTCCAGGCAACAGAAATATGGCTCTACTGAAGGATGCTGAGAATACCATGGACATAACTTGTGAGCAATGACGAAGTTGTAGAGTAAATGGTCACAAAAAAAAGAAAAATACTTAAGATCAGAAAAAGACAATTGAAATTTTTAAGGTACATAATGAGGAAATAGGACTTGGAAAATTTAACACTGACAGGACATTAAAGTTAAGAAGAACAGAAGAAAGCAGCCCATAAGTTACCTAACGAGATTGTGTCAATGGCTGGCAGAACAGGAATTAGGTGTGATGATAGCAAAAAGACAAAATTTACTCAGAGTTACAATAAGAGACGGATATGCAATGTGATTGGCCCTGATCTGAAGAAGAAGAAGGTTTAAGAAGTGAGTTTTATTAAAAAAAAATAAATACGGTAAATACGTTTAATCATAAAAGTAGTAAATATCGGACAGAAATAAAAACAGTCTATATAAAAAGTAATAATAAATAATGAGATATGAATGGTAAAAATTGACTTAAGATGGCGGTTAAAAGAGACTGAAAATTGGCGGGAAAATAACACCAGGCGCGACAGTGTTTTATAAACTTTTAAGTTGTTTAAGAAACTGTAGATGATCTGAGGCCTGTATTTAGATAGATAGATAGATAGATAGATAGATAGTTAGGGAGAAAGGATGACTGATACATGCAAGTGGCTGTAGAGGAATTAGGGATTTGACCATGAACAAAAATTACATTTAATTTAAACTATCTCCCTTGATGCATTCTGTTGACTGCTATTTCTCTTCTGTATGTCCCATAGGCTACTGTTCACAAATTTTGCTGAGGAACAAACTCACTCAAATAAATATGGTGTATGTTTTAACAATAGCACAAAACAGGCGTCTTATATATTTACCACACACTTGAATCCACTCCGCGAATAACGTGGAGCCAAGTTACTGGAGACGTCCTTGCACCTTTGCAACAATAGCGACATCAATATGTAACCGCTATCGTTGGTCGAAAAAAGTAACAGAAATCCTGAATGTTTTACTGTTCGTCCCATTTGGTACTCTAATCTTAACACATAGTCAAATGATTTTTTTTTTTTTGTTGTTAATAAGAAAATGAGAAAAAATATATTCAAGGACTGAGGTAGTATACAGTATCTACTGACGAAATGGTCGCATTAAAAACAATTATTAATAAAAAAAAAAAAACAAAAAAAAAACAAAAACACGAACAATATATTCTCTCCAGAATCTATCTTACATATCTATAATTCTACGACCCATCTATACTTTGAATAATTACTGCCATATATGGTTCGGTACTCCTGCTATATATTTAGAGATTCTAGATAATATCCAAAGAAAAAAATTGCCCTGTTATTGGTATTGACCTGCCACCTAGGCTTCTGTCACTTTCTTACCGCTATAATGAACAATATATTCTCACCAGAATCTATCTTACATATCTATAACTCTACGACTCATCCATACTTTTAATAATTGCTGCCACATATGGTTCTGTACTTCTGCTATATATTTAGAGATTCTGGATAAAATCCAAACAAAAAAAAATTGCCCTGTTATTGGTATTAACCTGTCATCTAGGCTTCTGTCACTTTCTTACCGCTACAATGTATCTTCCTTGTGTCTGTTCTATAAATACTTTTACGTTAATTGTTAATTGTTCTGATGAACTTTCCGCTACATTCATTGGGGTTTCTTTTTGAAATGCTATTTAGACAAATTGTACATATGAGAACTAGTTAGAACTTCGTAGAGGTTTGAGGTATTACTGTGGTTGTAGTAAAGATGCAATGTCAATCGTTCTACTGTCTTCTTGATCTCTTGATCTAAGTCTGGTAACTAAGAATGTGTTGTTTTGGAGTAAAGAAAAGTGTGACATGTTTGGGTCAGTAATTGTGGCTGTCTATGTTTAATTATAAGCCACAATAAGACCAACCTTCCCCATCCCCTATTTTTGCCCTTGTGGATTTACAAAATAAATATTACTTTCTGCTATGGTGCCTAGACTTTATGAATTTAAACGCAATACTAGATTGGCGGCTAGGTCTCATCAACTCATAGTCGAATTGGCTAGGTTCTGTACTAACACTCCCTTTTCTCGCACTTCTCACTTGTGGAACTATCTTCCAGTTTCTTGCTTTCCAGCCAATTTTGATCTTCAAAAATTTAAAGCAATTTTAATCGTTATCTACTGTTTTCTTGATCTCTCTTCTTTTATTGTTCTCGCTCCTCAATAAAGTTTTTTTCTTTTTCTTTATTGCTTTGCTTGGGGTGAAATGTTTAAAAAATATACCGAAAAGTATACAGACTAATGAAATCATTTCAACTAAAACATGAAACAATACAGAAGAATAATTTTGTTAGAACAAAACGTAGATTGTAATAACGACCGCTCCATAACAGACGTCGCTTATATGTTTATATGTTAAGCAATTCTTTTCTATAGATCCATAACTTTAGAATATCGAACTCTTGGTAATATTTGAAATCTGTTAATCAATCATGGAACGCTATCACCAGGGCTGATGAGTACTACCCCGATCGAGGTGGGGTGGGGGATGATTGGGAGCTCCAGGCAGGGCTTTGTGATACTCGCTAGCTTATCAACATTTATTTTTTTCTGTCCACATTTATATATGTTACAAATTAAACTAAGCACAATTGACTATTAAAGAAAGAAAAATATTTTGCGGATTTCGACGTTCTGGGGTCTTGTATTTTGTCCAATTCCGTGAATTTGTTTTGCTTGTGTTAAATCTCGAAAAAGCACCTTTTTTTTTCATCCATAATGTTGAATGTGTTAAAATTATTCAATTTTTAACAAGAAAAATTTCAAGTTGCCGCAAAACATTGTTGATTTATTTAAGATGGAATAATATATTATGGCATATCTCCATTTTCTTGCATTTTAGATACATAGGATTTTTTCATTTTTTCTAGTTGAATTGTTCACCTATATATGACCCATTATTGTACTCATTTAAGTTATACAGTGTAACCCGGATGTAAGAGAGTTGGCGGGACCGGAGAAGAAGTCTCTTATATCCGGGTTTCTCTTATATCCGGGTTTGGTCTAATTTGTTTAGGTAAGTATGGGAACACTTTGGGACCAGAGAAAATCTCTCTTATATCCGGGTTTCTCTTATATCCGGGTCTCTTATATCCGGGTTACACTGTAATAAAATATGTATTTTATATGAATACTCCCTTATGAAAATTGAGATGTAATAGAATGAAGGCTCTGTATCATAGATTCTAGGTGAAAATTACGAGATTCTTATATCAGCCCTGGGTATTATAGTGACAAACTTTTGCTCTCCATAAGAATGGCTGATTCTAACGTTCAGGATAGCAACTCATTGTGCCTTCATGGTCTCATGTTTTCCATTGAATCAATTGCTATATCTGCTGCTATATACATTGGCCCAATGTATGGTGCTAGACAATTTTTTCTTGTCAGATTACAACTTCCACATTTATAAATCTACCATCCGCCCGTGCATTGAATATTGCCGTCATATTTGGTCCGGCGCTCCGGATATATATCTCGAGATTCTGGACAAAATCCAAAGACCTGACATCTCGACGTAAGTCACTTTTCTGTTTTTTCTAAAACTGTTTTCATGGCTGTTGTCTTTTCATGTCAGGATCTCTCCTCCGTTGTACCATGATGGCGTTAATTTAAGAATACTATTAGATTGGCTACAAGGTCTCATAGATTTACTGCTGATATAGCTAGATGTGACCGTATGTTCTATTTAAATAATTTCTTTCTTTGCTTTTTTCACCTGTGGAACTCTTCCGATTTCTTGCTTCTTTGCCGCCTACAAACTTAAAAACTTAAATGCAATGTCAATCGCCATCTTCTGTCTTCCTGAACCATGTTCTTTTATTGTCCTTTCTCTTCACTAAAGTCTTCTCACTCCCTTCCACTCTCATTAAACCCTCATATTTTAGTGGCTTTATTGCCTTAGTTAAGATGAAATGATTAAATAAATCACTGGAAACCCCAATAAGCCAAAATGTAGAGCTGATGATGAGTGTAGTGTATAAAGCCGGAACGTCTTTAATAAAATCAATAACAATCAAAGGAAGAACGATCTTTCGAATAAATGACTTCACACATTGTCAGATATCGCAGGTGATTTTGCAACATATTTACTTAATTTATATTGCGTTTAGTAACCTTCGAATTGAAACTTTCTACAGGGTAGATTGTTCTCGTTCCTCTCTTCATGTCCAGGGATATCTCATATAGTATTTTTTAGAACTGTTCAATTATATCTCAACCCGTTTACACTGAGTCCAACTACACACTGCCCGACCCAGGGATTGAATTCGCAATCACTGTCATGCCGGACGACACAACGGCCGAAACGTTGTGACAAGAACAGCAAAGCCGGGGAAAATTGTCCGCGTGTAAATAATGATAACTCCTTATCAAGTTAAATCTCGGCTGGCAAAAGGACAATATTTTCCAGTGCAAAAACTGTCTGAACTACAGTTACTGAAATTAGGTTTCTATCTTTTCTTTCCGTATTTAATTAGCGCATTCTGGCACGTGAATACACAGTGAGACTTGAACCCGCTAAATAAGCCTTGCTCGGTAAACAACGCTCGATAAAATATCCTATTTTTATTGCATGTAATTAAAAATGCAATGACGGAAAAGATTTAAAATTTAATTTATGAATGTTCATAAGCGTTCAGTCGAGTCCAACGCGTCGTTTTATGTCCTACGCTGTCGACAACAAATAAATAAATTGAATAAAAAAGCCACAGACAAAATGGCAGGTAGCAAAATTCTATTAGCGAAGCGCTTTTCAAACTTCAAAGATATTATTGATATTTTATTCCAGTTTTCTTTCCATCTTCTGTTCTGTTCATATTTAAACAAGACTTTTTTTGTCAGTGGATTTCCAAAGAGAATGTCAATATTCCTTCAAATATGTTCTGAATATTGTCCAAACAAATTCGTTCAAGCAGTTCTTCGTAAATATATACATGTTTTTTCATAAAGGAAAGGCATTACATTTAATTGATCATATATATATATATATATATATATATATATATATTCGACGGGATGTAATGGTTAGCAAGCTTGTCTCACTAGATCAGATACGACTGAATAGTGGGCTTGATCCGCATTGAGTGCCCCTTTCAACCTTGCTTACTTTCAGCTACGCTTAAAAACATCTCTACATCAACGTGGTGTAGCGGTTGGCAAGCTTGTCTTAATCAGTTGTGATTGGGTCGTTAGTTCGACCCTGACTGGGTGATCTGTACATCTAAACTACGCTTTGTATATATATATATATATATATATATATATATATGTGTGTGTGTGTCTATAAATGAGGCAAGTTTTGTCTACTTATTTTTAATAGGATCCTCTCATAATTACGGACAAGTATTTTAGTATCCTTATTAAAGAAAGAAAGAAAATTACCATGTTGATGCATATCAATTTTATTCCGAGTACTATCACATTATCACAATGCCGTTATCAAGGTTTTGTTTTTTCTAAGGCAAAAAATTGTTGTGTTCATCATTTTTCTACGATAAAGTTGTTGTGTTCAGCTGAAATTTTTTTTTTTTTTTTACGTGTGAAGTGAAAAGGTTATGTACTGTACATTTTGAAATTTTATCATGGATGCTCACGTGCAA